ATGAGATATATAAAACTTATATTTTTAACTCATATATATATATAGTTTCATTATTTCATAAAAAAAAAAGTAATACATTTTATAAAAACCTGAATAATCAAAGATTATATTTCTCTCATTTATCCATGTTTCTATATTGCACTAGTTGACGGGATCTAGGCGTGGAAATTGTTATTTTGTATGGAGCAAATTTCCTATTTATAGTGTTGAGTAGGACAAACTGTTTCTTTTTCTTAGGAATAATGGAAATAAAAAAAAAAACGAAAATAATATTACATTTCTCCTTGAAAAGGCTTAAATATCAATAGAAACTAAAATCTTTACGCGCATTACTAACTCTGCCGAACCATTAGTGGGAGTGGGATAGACTGTTTGCAAAATTTCTCTTATGGTGAAGGTACAAGCTTGTGGAAAATGTATTGGAAAATGTATTGGAAAATGTGAGTCCCACAATGCCAGGTTGTAAGAAAAAAAACATAAAAAAAGCTTGCAAACGTCAGACCGTCTTGCTTTTAACGGTCAAAAATACTCCGTTAGGGATGAGATGTACGGAGGGACGAAATTGAGCACTTTTTGAATGGTAAAGGGAGAACATGTTAAGCTGAAATAAAGTAGAGGAGGACATGAGGCGATTTCGTAGTAAAAAGATTAAATTGAACTTTTCAAAATAGTGGAGGGATGACAGTTGGCTGCTTTTCCCTTTAAGACTGGACCATTTATTTATTTATTATTATTTATTTTGTTTTGTTGTTCTTGCGTTTATCACGTGAGCTAGTGGGTCCGGGAACTAGATATTTGTGCTAATCTCTTTAAGATTGAACCGTTTATTTACTTATTTATTTGAAAAATCTGTACAAGTGAAGTGAATTATATGTAATTCATTTTAAAAAATTATTTAAATTTTTTTAAATTTTTTATCTATTATTTTATTTAAAATATTTAAATAATTTTATAAAATAAATTACATATAATTCATTTTGTAAAATAATTTTTAGTATTTATTTATTATTACTGTTTATTTGTTGTTTTACAGTAGATCAAACACAACTTCGACATTCATCTAGTTAAAAATCGGACAAAAAAAAGTAAACCAAGCTGAACCAAACCGAACCAAACCAAACCAAACCACAATTGGACCTAGTCCCACTCATGAGTCTGGGACAAAGTTTTAGATCATGATTCCAGTTTGCCACTTTTTCTTAATTAAAGATTCCAACTTTAGTTTTTCCACCAAAGTTGTCCAACACTTTTTCATAGGATTCGATTTCATTTTTCCTTTCTGAAAAGTAGCAAGTAGGTTTGATTTTCTAGAGACAAAGATAATATAAAATATTAAACACATATTAGAACTTAGTATCGTTGGATTTTTCTTTTATTTAATGAGAATTTTAATTATGTGATTTAATAAAGTATATTAGTCTCACTAGAAAGTTGAACTTAACCATGGTTAACATAGAAGTTGCATTTGCGTG